GGGCAGTGGCAGACGGCGGGCATTATTCCACAGTTGGCAGGCAAGGATGCCAAGGGAGGGGCTGCAACTAGCTCACTGTAGTGCCCGGAGGATGCCCACACGGCATGAAGCTGGCCCCTCGGCGGAGCGGGAGCGACTGCTCTTTGTTAGGGTGGGGGTCCCCCGGCATGTGCAGCTTCCTCCATTTTCCCTCATTCCTAGGAAAACTTGGGAGTCTGGAAGCGTCCGAAGAGTCTGAAACTGCGGCCAGGTCGGTGAGGTCGAAGGGAAGAAATCAGGAAAAGAGGAAACGGACACCAGGGACAGGAGTAGAAAACCAGGGGGACACGCCAGACGCCCAAGGGCGAACAGGCCGTGACCCGGATGAAGCGGAGGGGCGCCTGAGTTCCCGTTGCCAAGGCAACGGCCCGCGAGCCCCACCTCCCCTCCCCCACGCAGGCCCCAGCCCGGCCTCGGCTCCGGCCGCCGCCACCGCCCCTGTTTTGTTTCCATGGCGACAGGCGGCGCGGGGCCCGCTCCAAACATAACGCGCTCTGGAAAACATGCGGCTCGGAGGACCCCCCCGCAGTCCCCGCTCGGGGCCGAGCCCTGAGGGGCCCCGGAGCAGTCCTGGCCACGTGCACTTTGGCAAGAGCCCCCAGGGCCAGCCCAGACGCGCCAGAGACCCCTCTCCAAGGCCCGCCGCGCCTCCGGGGCTTCGGGGCTCCGCTCGGCCGAGGCGTCGCGACTCTCCGAGGCGCGCCTGGCCAGCAGCCCTGCCCCTCGGCGGCGGCCGCCTCTGGATGGGCCGGCGGCCGCCCAGCCCCGAAGCTCGCGGCCCCGCCCCGCGCCGGCCGGCCGCGTCCCCAGCCCAGAAAAGCCGTGCCTCCCCCGGGGCCTCCCCAGGCCCCCAGCCCGGAGCCGCCAGAGGGGCGGCGGGGGGCGGGCCGGCGCAGGGGAGGGCAGACGCGTACAGGGAGGTGCTTCCGGGACAGAGGGCGGGCAAGATGGCGGCGCCCATGGAGCTGTTCTGCTGGTCAGGGGGCTGGGGGCTGCCTTCAGTGGACCTGGACAGCCTGGCCGTACTGGTGAGGGGTGGCGCCGGCGCCCTCTGGGGCGCTCTGGAGGACTGGGGAGGGGACCCGAACTAGCCAAGCATCCGAACTGTGCCGGGCCGCCTCAGCACGGGCGCAGTCGGGGAAACTGAGGCAGTGAGCCTGGCCGTACTGGCCGCCGCTCTGTGCTAAGTGCTCAATGCCTTAGTTTCCTTAGCTTCGTGCAGCGCTGGAAAGAGACCTGGTCGGGTTTCAAGGGATGGGTGCTGGTCCTTGCTCTTCCATATAGTGGCTGTGTGACCTTGGGGCCATGTCGCTTCTCCCTGGGCGCTGTTCCTGCGCCCGGATGTTTACCCAACTGGACAATCTCAGGAATCTCCTTCGGCTTTGCATTCCAGTGTTTTCAGCACCCCCTTCCTTCTCATTGAACAGGATTTACTGAGCCTATTGTTTGTCGGACAGGACAGCCCACAGCCAGGCCCTCTGTAGAAGGAACTTTGGAATCAGACTTAGTTCTTGTCATTCATTGTCTACTTGACTTACAAAGTATCTAAAAGGTTTTAAACAAACAATAGACATTGCTTTGCAAAGATGACTGAGACTCGGCCCCTCCCCTTGAGTTATCCGAAAGCTGGATGTGAAAGCAAATAAATGTGATAAAATGTTTAGGTGGAAGTAGGAACACGTAGAGACCTCCAAAGAAGGGCACTGTCAGTGCTTCCGAGGACAGGGGTGCCTCGGAGGGGAGGAGGGGAGACGGACGGAAGAGTTTTCCTGGCTGACCGGTAGTCATGGAAGGATCCATCTCTCTCTGAGTCGTTTGTTGACCATTTTGTGAAACAGGAATGGTAATATCGGATTGTTTTTTGGTACTAAGGTAGCATGGCCTAGGAGATAGTCAGTACATGTTATATCCCTTCTTGATTCCCCCACCGGGGCGATAGCCCTGATCTCTCTGCTTTCTGCTTCCTTCCCTGCAGACCTATGCCAGATTTACTGGTGCTCCACTCAAGGTACACAAGATCACCAACCCCTGGCGGAGCCCTTCAGGTACCCAGCATCCCTGGGGGGTGAGGAAGAGAGTGTTACAAGGGGAGGTGCAGGAATGTGGTACTAATATGTCTGAGAGGAAGGTAAAGTTCTGGTGAGCATACTTCTTTCTCCATGTCAGGAACCCTGCCTGCCCTTCGAACCAGTCATGGAGAGGTCATTTCCGTATCACACAAGATCATCACCCACCTTCGAAAAGAGGTAGGTAGCTTGGATAGAGGGACTGCTAGTGAAAGCACTTCATTTGGTTCAATGCAACACGTTATTTATTGGGCACCAGATGTTGCCAAGGTGGATGGAAGTGACCCAGAGCGTGCAGGAGCACACGTTCTGATGAGGAAGACACACACAGTGTCACTGTGGTGAGGTAAAGCTCTATGGTGGGCATCCGGGGCGCTGAGCCTTCTGCCTGCCAGGCTTAGGCAGATGACACGCGGAGTAGAAAGGAGAGGACAGCAGTCGACTCTGATGAGGCCCTTAAAGGTGAGACTGGAGAGGAACTTCTCAGGGCCACTTCCCTGTTTCGGGGACCAGGTTGGGCTGGTCATAGGGCTCGGGATGCACAAAGCTTGGAGACGGGTTGGCGGAGTTCCAAGTGTGTTGCAACAAGAGTGGGGAGGCCTAAGCTGTGCTCAGCACCCTGTCATTGACTAGATAATCTTGGACAAGTCATTTAACTGCTCAGAGTCGGCTCCTAAATTGTAAAACTGGGCCACTTAGCTGGCGCACTTCCCGAGGGTTCTCCTAGCATTCACAGTCTGGCTCCAGGAGGGAATGCCGTGTCAGAAATGGCTCAGACCCCCTTCCTCACGTCTGTCCCAAAGGTGAAGGCACTGGGGTGGTAAGAGAGAGGCCTGGAGAAATGGGATCCTGGTCAGAGCTACAGCTCCTGGCAGGGCCGGCACCACTGCCCTGAACCCTTACGTATGAACAGAACTTTTCCAGTGTGCAAAGTATTTTCTTCTGAATTAGTTCCTAACAGTCCTGTTACTGGAGAGAATTATCCCCATTCTGTTTCATGGGGGAGGAATTTAAGGATCATGCTCAAGAGGCTATTTGGGGAAAAAGGTTACTGAGGATATGGGAAGGGGGTGCTGAGGATCAGAGCCTGGAGCCAGGGAAGGTAGGGCAGCCCGAGACCTGGGGGTGCGAGTGGAATGTGTGTGCGGTGGCAGCGCCTGGGCCATGGAATGAAGTGGAAGAAGTGGCCAAGAGCGGGGCACTGAAGGAACAAGCCAGGGGGTCCTGGGCGTGGGTTTGCTAGGTCCAGGGTGTGTGCGGATGGCGTCTCCTGGTTCCTGAGGCGTGGACCGAGGCCCAACCTG